CCTTGGACCTGGGAGTCAGCCTTGGAATGCGGCCCATTCTCATTGGAGAACTGCCTATTATCACTGGAAGATTAACAACCTTGTTGCCCAAACAATGACCACCAGGGGGCAGATGCTCAACGTAGGAGCTGCAGAGCAACAGCAACTTTGCAGAGTGCCCTCTCCCACTCTGGGACCCCGAGGGGGATGTGGGACTGCCAGTTTCGGCCCGATCCCCGCAGGCCAGGCCGAGGGACCCCCACCTGCCGAAGGGACCCCGCTCACTCTGCAGATGCCCTTTGAGCCCTGGCGCCGCCCCAGGTGCGGCCGGCCGGGGAGGGACTGCAGGAGGTTGACTCCAGGGCGTGCCCGGCCCCTCTCACCCAGTACCGCCGGCCACCTTCTAATTAATTTCCTTTCAATGTGCGCGAATCCGTGCACCAGGCCTCTAGTTTTTTATGAAGTTTTTTTCTTGGACCTGAAGTCAGCCTTGGAATGCGGCCCATTCTCATTGGAGAACTGCCTATTATCACTGGAAGATTAACAACCTTGTTGCCCAAACAATGACCACCAGGGGGCAGATGCTCAACGTAGGAGCTGCAGAGCAACAGCAACTTTGCAGAGTGCCCTCTCCCACTCTGGGACCCCGAGGGGGATGTGGGACTGCCAGTTTCGGCCCGATCCCCGCAGGCCAGGCCGAGGGACCCCCACCTGCCGAAGGGACCCCGCTCTCTCTGCAGATGCCCTTTGAGCCCTGGCGCCGCCCCAGGTGCGGCTGGCCGGGGAGGGACTGCAGGAGGTTGACTCCAGGGGGTGTCCGGCCCCTCTCACCCAGTCCCGCCGGCCACCTTCTAATTAATTTCCTTTCAATGTGCGCGAATCCGTGCACCAGGCCTCTAGTTTTTTATGAAGTTTTTTGTGTCGAAATATGAGAGCAAGGCACACCCATGCGCAACAGTGCCAGAGCCACACGGGAAGTCTTTACCTGTGGACGGTGGGAGAGCTACCGCTCAACACAAGCGCGTTTTCCTACCACTCCCTGCAACAGGGAGACAGACTCTCCTGTATGCACCCAAGCGTTGGAAAGAGCTGATCACAAAATCAAACACAATGAAGGTCAAGCGAAGACATAACCTAGACCGGCCACAGCGCCATGGCTTCCTGCTGTCAGTACAGAGTGATGGGCTTTCCCATCAGAAATTCAACCGGAGAGAAACCCCTGCACCGGGCCCTGGAAACCCGCCCAGCCCGGCCCCTCCCATCATTTCCCCATCAGCCGTTTCCCTAATTCCCACATCAGGGGACCAGGAAAAGGGCAGCCGCAGAGGCACCATTCACGATTAACCATCCGCAGGAGCTACAAATCCCAGCCCTGCCAGTGCTCCCAGTGTCTTCAAAATGTTAACTTTTGAAATGAAAGATGTCATTTCTTTTTTATTTTTAATATATTTTTATTGACTTTAGAGAGAGGAAGGGAGAGGGAAAGAGAGATAGAAGCATCAGTGATGAGAGGGAATCATTGACCGGCTGCCTCCTGCACAACCCCCCCCCCCCCGCCCCGCCAACCCCGGCAGATCAAGCCTGCAACCCGGGCACGTGCCCTGACCGGAAATCGAACCATGACCTCCTGGTTCAACGCTCAACCACTGAGCCATGCCGGCCGGGCAAAGATGTCATTGCAACCAATGCTCTTATTAATCTCAACGTGCATTTTCAATGCGCTCTATTTCTGAAATGTATGAAGAACTCAGCCTATAGTGACCCCAAGTACACCTGCCTACGGAGCGGATCCCATCTGCCCCCAGGGATGGTTCTATCCAGGGCGTGTTTCCTCACCGTCAATCTTCCCTCCCACCAGTTCCTCTAAATATAACCCAGGGCAGTGCCCGTCCCGTCCCCCCGGCTCTCAGGGAGGCTCTGCAAGCACTTGCCAAGCCCGTCCTCTGATATGCGGAAGAAATTAGCGACTTCACATGAGTTCCTGGCAGCCACTGAGCCTCGGGGGCCTGACTTGAAGGAAGTCCGGAACAGTGCACGGTCAGACGGTCACGTCTCTCTCACTGCTATTAAACTGGCCAGAAATCGGACTAAATAAGAAAACTTTTCACGTCCTCCCTCCGATTCAATGAGCACAGAGCCTCTCTGGACAAACAAAATCCAGCAGTGTTTAATCTTTTCAAAGAGGCAGGTGATGTGTGGACGGACCAGACAGGGGCTGGGTCTGGGCTGAGGGGCTGCGGCCTCAGCGGGACTGCACGGCCCAGGGCCTACGCATGGGGCCCGAGAAGAGGGTCCGGGTTCCTGAGCCGCGGGGACGGCTCTCCTGAGTCTACGATGGGCCTTTCTGACGCTATCGAGGCCAATTCCCATGGGATTCAAAGCAGGTCAGGCTGGTGGATGTGGCCACTGCAGTCCTTTGTGGCTCTTCATTTTTCTTTTCCTTTTTTAACATCTTTTTATTGATTTCAGAGAGGAAGGGAGAAGGAGAGAGAGAGAAACATCAATGATGAGAGAGAATCATGGATCGGCTGCCTCCTGCACGGCCCCTACTGGGGATCAAGCCCACAACCCGGGCATGTGCCTTTGACCGGAATTGAACCCGGGACCCTTCAGTCCACAGGCCAGCGCTCTAACCACTGAGCCAAACCATCTGTGGCCAGTTTTTCATTTGTCCGTCCACTCAGGGGTCTGTCAAGGGCACATGCCCTGCGAAAGGGAGGGTCGGGTACCCTGGAAAGACATCAGCGTGAAAAGAGTCTCCTACCAAAGGTGGCCTGGAAGTTAAGGAATTAAAGGGTGTGTGTGTTTTCAGATAAAAATGTGTGTGTTTTTTAATACATTGTAAAATACGTGTGGGAAAGTGGCGGGACTGAATTAAAGCTGAATAGTTATTTATACCTGTTTCCTGTTCAGCCGGTGACAGCGTTCAGCTGGGATTTCAGAGGCCCTGGATGAAATTTCCCAGAACAGCCCGCGCACGCGGGGGTCTGCGGGAGGGAGGACCCCGGACACATCCTGCAATTCACACGCTGGGAACACAGGCGCCCTGGGAACGCGGGCGGGAACCGGCAACTTCAAAACAAAGCACACTTCCTCTGCCAAACCGTTTCCAAACGCCCCCCAAGGACGGGAGGGAAGAAAACACGATGCGTCCGGACACAAAGGCGGGCAGCGGGGGCCTTAACAGTCCCGTTTGTGTAATCAGCCGTGCGTTCCTCTGCGTCTGGGAAGTGGACTGCGTGAGCTGGGACCCAAACCACACTCGCCAGGTGCTGGGTGTCCACCTGGCCCTTCTGCCCAACGCCCACCCACTGGTCACTGGGCTAATGGGCCTCGGCCTCCCTCCCACATCGGCCCCCCAGCCGGCCCCCCACAGCCCATCGCTCTGTCTTAGCATTTATTGCATGATCTTGAAATGTCTGTTAACACGCCTGTTGCTTCCAGGAACCCCAGAAAACATGGCAGCTCCTGAGACGCGGAACACGCTCCAGGATGGTTGGGACGGAACCCCAACAGCCACAGGGCCCTGAATCCCCGTTACAGGACGGGACGGCCTCGGGGAGAAACCCCGCTGCCCGCTCCCAGCACCCCGCACCGTGCGGTCCGCGCAGGACACTTCCAATCAGCACGTGCACCGCACGTCTCAGAGGCGTCGCCTGCCGTCTGCACATCCCCAGGGGACGCCCTCCCGAGGGACCAGCGCCTCCCACGACCGATGTTCAAGCTACGTCCGTGGGAAACAAATTAATAAAGAAACAGGAGGGCCATGCCCAGCCGCTCAGGGACAGCCAGCCCCATGGACACGCGTGCCCATGACACACCCGTCGGGAAAGCTCCGTGCGCGCCGTGTGGAGCCTCCCGGCATCTCCGCACTGGCCTCTCTTCATGGCCCGTGAGAACTGCTGCCCGGAGCAGTGGCCTGGCGTCCCCACAGCGCGCTCCGCCAGGTCCAGGCCACCACCGTGCCTCCCGACTCACACGCCAGATTCTAGGGTCAGTCTCACACTAAGATGGCTGAGCCTGCTTCAAGAAAAATACTTAAATGTTCTGTTTTTAAAAATGCTGAAACAGTCCTTTTAGAAAACATTTTTTAAAAAGCTACAGCCCCAGCTGGTTTGGCTCAGTGGATAGAGTGTCGGCCCTGTGGACTGAAGGGTCCCGGGTTCGATTCTGGCCAAGGGCACGTACCTTGGTTGCAGGCTCGATCCTCGAGCCTGGTTGGGGCTCCTGCGGGAGGCAACCAATAGATAATCGCTGTGTCTCCCACATCGATGTTTCTCTCTCTGTGTCACTCCCCCTCCCATGTGTCTCCCACATCGATGTTTTTCTCTTTGTCTCTCCCGCTCCCTTCCACTCTCTCTAAAAATCAATGGAAAAATATCTTCAGGTGAGGATTAACAACAACAAAAAAAAGCTACCAATTCTACAATTCTACCTTTAAATCAACTCCTACAATTACTCTCGTTTCTTATACTTTTTTTTTTAATTGGTTTCAGAGAGAGGAAGGGAGAGAGAAACGTGGATGAGAGAGAAACACCCCTCGGCTGCCTCCTGCACGCCCCACACTGGGGATCGAGCCAGCGACCTGGGCAGGTGGCCTGACCGGGAATCAAACCGTGACCTCCTGGTTCATGGGTCAGTGCTGAGCCCCGCCGGCCGGGGGGGAACGTCTTTATAGAGAAGAGAATGGAGTAGACGGAGAGAGTCAGTCTCCAGGAGATAGAGGAGGGCGTGGGAACAACAGGGAAAGTTCAAGAGGGGACAGGACGGGCCCCGCGGGCTGACCGCCTGGGAGGGGTAGTGGAGGAAACACAGACAACAATACAGAAGCACGTGAAGGAGGGAAGGAAGGCTGCTGAAGTTCATGGTTAAGGAGACGAGATCTTGCCCGGCTGTGGGAGCCCTTGCTGGCTCAGGGGTGGGAGAAAGATCAGGTGCAGGGACCTCTGAGGGGACATGAAGTCGTCACGCAGAGAAGGACCTGCAGCCCTGGGTCTGGACGAGACCGTGACTGTGGAAAGAAGAGATGCAGGGACACAGGCCATGGGCGGGGGTCACCGAGGAGGCCGCGAAGAGCTGGCCACGTGGGCGCAGGGCGTTGGAGATGGAGAGGGTCACGGGTCCGGGGAGTGGGCCCCGCGGGCAGCGCAGAGGATAGAGTCTATGGGCATCTGGTCCCGGGACCCGCCGGCTCTGGGCGGCTCTGGAATTTCAGGTGGACACAGTGCAGGTTGCTGGCCCTGGGGCCGGTCTCGCTGAAACACAGTGCACTCCCCGGAGTGAAACAGACGATGAAACAGAAAAGTTCACTGCAGACAGTCTCCCATGGCGCTGCCGTGAACGGAAGTCCCTTCCCCCTTCCCCTGGTCCTCAGACTTGGACGAGCCGGCGACCACACACCATCCACCGCATGCAGCCAGGAAGTGATTCACTGACCCCCTCCCCCGGAGGCAGGAAGCCAGGCAAACAATGACGTGAGCCTTAATTCGTGCCTCGCACTTTTCATGATGAAAACACACACTTCAGAAGCTCAGCGGGGCCCGGCCGGCGTGGCTCCGTGGTTGAGCATCGACCTATGAACCAGGAGGTCATGGTTCGATTTTGGTCAGGGCACAGGCCCGGGTTGCGGGTTGGATCCCAGTGGGGGGCGTGCAGGGGGCAGCCGGTCAGTGATTCTCTCTCATCACTGATGTTTCTCTCTCTCCCTCTCCCTTCCTCTCTGAAATCAATAAAATATATATTTTAAAGTCCACGGTGGCCGAGAACACGCAGGCATGCTCCGAACTGAAGCAAAGGGAGCCGCTCTCAGCTCCTGCGACGCTAAGTGCTTATTTGCATGTGATTATCCCGTCCGGGGGGCGGACGATCCACACGATACTCAAACTCAGCAAGACAAGACTTTAGAGCAGCGGTTCTCAGCCTGTGGGTCGCGACCCCTTTGGGGGTGGTACGACCCTTTCACAGGGGTCGCCTAAGACCATCGCAAAACACATATATAATTACATATTGTTTTTGTGATGAATCACTATGCTTTAATTATGTTCAATTTGTAACAATGAAAATACATCCTGCATATCAGATATTTACATTAGGATTCATAACAGTAGCAACATTACAGTTATGAAGTAGCAACGAAAATAATTTTATGTTTGGGGGTCACCACAACATGAGGAACTGTATTAAAGGGTCGCGGCATCAGGAAGGTTGAGAACCACTGGTTTAAGGACACACGACTGTCAACTGGGGGGACAGAGCATGAGCGGCTGTCGCTGCAGCGCCCTCCCGCGTGGGGGTCCCAGGGCACCCGGCCTGCCCCTCGCTGTCCCTAAGGCCCAGTTTGGGGCGCAGCTGGGGCCCATTATAAAGGGGTGTGGTCAGGTCACCCGTGAGCTTTCCCGAAAGCCGCAGGCCCACGGGCTCCGAGTCCCAGGTGCATGGAGCATGTACCTTTATTTCCAGTTCCTCCGAGCGAATGCGGTGCCCGGGCCAGTGTCACTCAGTGTCGGCCCGAAAACCAAAGGGTCCCGGGTTTGGTTCTGGTCAAGGGCACGTACCTCAGTTGCAGGCTCGATCCCCGGCCCCGGCTGGAACACGTGCGGGAGGCAACCAACCGATGTGTTTCTCTCACATCGATGTTTCTCTCTCTCTGTCTCTCTCCCACCCTTCCACTCTCTCTAAAAATCAATGGAAGAATGTCCTTGGGCGAAGAATGAATGGTCCATACCTTGGACTGGACAGTTTCACACCAAGGGACTCAATTTGAAGAAATAATCATAGATGTTTACATTAGAAGCTCACGCTGCCCACGCCCCCCACTAAGACATCACCCCCAAGCCTGGCCCAGCGCTGACTCAGCGACAGCCCTCCATCCGAGGGGCTCACACAGCAGCCCACACCCAGCCTGCGATGAGCTGGCGACTGAAGGGGCCGAGCTCCTCTCCTCCGGGAACTCCCATCTGGAAACTGGATCATGTTAAGCCGCCGAGGTAAGTGGCAACCACACCGGGGCCAGTGGCCATGCGGGACCAAGCTCAACTACACATTAGCAGGTGAGCTGTTTGATGAAATTTTTTAAAAATATATTTTATTGATTTTTTACAGAGAGGAAGGGAGAGGGATAGAGAGTTAGAAACATTGATGAGAGAGAACCATCGATTCAGCTGCCTCCTGCACACTCACCACTGGGGATGTGCCCGCAACCGAGGTACATGCCCTTGACCGGAATCGAACCTGGGACCCTTGAGTCTGCAGGCCGACGCTCTATCCACTGAGCCAAACCGGTTAGGGCTGTTTGATGAATTTTTATTGTAATAATAATTGTAAAGCAAATGCAAACGTTCTGGGTAAGAAGTAACCTGAGGGGGTGGGTGGGAGCTTCCTGAGCCCACGCGGAGCAGCGCCTCCGCCCAGCAGGTCCCTGCTCAGACCACAATCACCGGTTTCTCTCCCTCGGGTCCCCTTTCAGAGCCGCACAGAAACAACCGGGTATTGACTTACATTACTTGCTGCCAAAACAGTAACACCTTGTGTTTGCAAAACACACTTGGGTGGAGGCGGGCGCTGCGGGCACGGAGCTGTGCGGGGGCCGCACTGGCCACCAGGAGGCGGGGCTAAGAGCGTCCGAAACCGACCACCTACCGGGTGGGCACCGCGAAGGGGCGGTGCATTTTTATTTTATTTTTCAATGTTTTTATTGATTTTAGGGAGAGAAGGAGAGGGAGAGAGAGAAACATTGACGAGAGGGAAACACTGATCGGCCGCCTGCTGGACGCCCCCTACTGGGGATGGAACCGGCAAGCCAGGCAGGTGCCCTCCAGGTTCATAGGTGATGCTCAACCACTGAGCCGCGCCGGCTGGCACGTTTTCACTTTATTCCCGTGTTATTTCTAGCTAGCTCCACCTTAAAGTGTGGATCTGAAGCAGCGGACCACTGAGGAGAAAACGGGGTGTGGGGGAGAGGATGGAGGCCACCCCTCTCTGGGACCCTGATTCCCTCAGGCTGGTGCACGGTGAGAAGCCCTGGAGCCACGCAGAAGGTCCCGTGTGAGAGGACACGTACGTTGGACGGAAACCTCCCCCTGTCCATGCAGGAGGCACAGCCGCACCTGGCCCCGCTCACCGCCTGGCCCCCGCTCACCGCCTGGCCCCACTCCCTTCCCCGCC